AAAAGTAAATTTTACAACTATTATTTCTTGATCATCATCCTTACTCTCCTCACCCCCCCCCCCCATACAAAGGCTAGCAAAGCCCATTTTAGTTTTAATTTTTTGTTAATTATCCTCACTAAACATGGTATATCAGCCGTCACTCCCATCTCTAACGCTGTTATCTTGGGTACAAGAGGTAATCGCCGTGCATTGTATAAAAATCTTTTGTTGTTTATAGGAAAAGAAAATTCCCAACAGATCTTTTGATATAACGCGTACGGCGTGAAATTACGGCGAGTGCTGGAGGCATCGCGTTAAATGGCCGCCTTATCTTGAAAAAACCTTCAGCTGTTATATCGCTTTTATTTCCTTTTTAAACGGAAACGATTAAATTTCACGTAACATCGGTAAATTTTTAAATCTTTAAAAAATAAAAGTTAATAACACTATTATCTAAACTAATATAATAAAGCGTAAACACATTACTTCGTGGCGTAGGATGTCAGAAATCACAGCTTATTTTTTATTAATTCTTTCTTTAATAAAAAGCTCGCCACTTACGAGATGCTTTAGGCTATATATTTTGTCGTGCGAGAAAAGGACACAAATTACAAGCCAATAGCAGCAAAGTAGTAAGGTTGGCATGGTAACGGAACTGTTATCCAATAATAAGTGCCTTCGTTATTATTGTCTGTGTATATATGGACGATGACGTCACACTCAAGGAATGTAAATCTGTGAAATATTTCTCAATTGTATAAAAAAATCATAATTTGTCAACGCCTAAAACGTATTTCCGAAATCCATTAGTAGGAAGTGAATCTATGTGACTGTACTTACCGAAACGCCTTTTATAATATTTCCCTGTCTATATTTCAAATATCGAAAGAGTAGGATTGAATAAGTTTAAAAAAAAAGTTTTACGCCCATACGTCTATTTAGCCGCACGTTTCCCATTTCCCATTCATATGTACATCCTTGTCTATTTTCACACAACATACTATATTGTTTTCTTGATGACGACATAAATGAGAATGCATTAAGATTGAATGTGGACGGCTAAAGAGAGGGAATCCTAACAAAATATAACAAGTGAAAGAGGGTACTTAAGAAGGGAAATTCAGATATGACAGTTGATAGAGATGTCTGGAAGAGAACCATATACTGAGTGACCCTCCGTAGGGACAAGGGCAAGTTGATGATTGCATTACTTTAATGTTTTACCTTGCGATGTTAGAACATTAGCAAAAAAACATATATCCCTCGTGAAAACCCAATCTTACACGCTAAAACTGCCTCTACTGTAAAAACCCACTCTTAAAATAATAACTATAACATTTATTTTTATTGTATGTAAATCTTACTTCGCGTATTCCAATTTATTACAATAAAACTCAAACATAAAAGCAATTAAAGTTTTAAAAATATTTTACATCCATTTAAAGTACGACGTTTAAGCGAAAAATGATGAGATTTAAAAGTAAAATATGTGTCAGCGATTTTATTGCATTCGTTAAATTCGGTTCTGTTTGCCTTTAAATAATGGACGAACGATTTTTAATCTGTCAAAGGCATTTTTACTCTATGCCGTCTGTCAAACTTGCTCTATGACAGTGATGTTTTATGCCTATTTGATTTGCGCCATTTTGGCGCTGACGGTTGCGGTTGACAACTGTGCTGAGATTGCGAACCACAGATAGAGATCGATTCAACTATAAATGTCATTTAAAAATGTTTAGGGGGCGTGTCTCACCAAATTGTAAATTATGTGATGACAATCCAGCGTGTAAAACATATGATGGTAATATCGAATTTTGTTCCCTTATCTGACAGTGAGGTCATTTTAAGTTATGTGAGCCTCTATCAGCCAGTGGTGGGAAAGGCCCTTTATCTTTTTTCTTTATGGACATTGTAAACGGCTTTTATTCAGTACCGAAGATGAAAGTGATTTACAGTAGCTTCGGGCAGTACTTTAATTGTTAGGGCTTTCATTGGACAACCAAAAGGCTTGTCGTGATGTTACCCTGATGATGGTAATTCAATTTAAATCTTATAATAGCGATCTATAGCTCTATAATATCTGAAATATTATTAAAATGACCTTCAAACAAAAGACTAGCATTTAACAGCGACTCCTTTCGCGTGAAATTAAAAACAAAAGTAAGTAGCCTATGTATACTTACAGACTATCCTCTACATCTATGCCAAATTTGATCGAGATCCGTTCAACAGTTTAGACTACAAACGCTAACAAAGAATAATAGTTTTCTGAAATATATACAGAATGGTTAACGGGAGTATCAAGAGTCCAAAAACAAATTGCTTTGAGACTCCTAAATGGTATTTCCGTTATGATTATAACTGAATTTTTTGAATGTCCGCTCTGTTACTTTATTAAATCTACGGGTCATGTGATTTAGTATTTTATTACCGTCGCTTTAGAGATTAAAATTCTAACAGCGTGATATTTTTATAAAGTATTTCCTATCTTTCCAGTTAACTTTAAACTTGAAGAGAGCAGATGCTATGTTCAGAGTTTCAAGAACCTCTCACCAATATAAATTTTAGTATCTCGCCTTTGTTGAACGCGTAATAAAGTTTTATAATATTCCGCAACTTCTGCGTGTTTGTTGAACATTTTTCTTTGCTATTTATGCATTTTCCTTCATGTTTTCTAAAACATGATACTTTAAACTATCTAACTATAGTATTCTTTTAGTTTTTATTGATTTATGCTGGGTTTCTGAAGTCACCATTACATACTTTCAACAGAGTATAACTCAAGTTATGTAGTTCGGAAACGTATTTCATGAAGTTATAGAACCAGAAACAGTAACGAACGGTTAATTGGCGCTTGCATTTAAACCCTTTGATTTGGTCCCTACATTTAAACATATGTAAATAATTATCTTATAATAAGCCTATAAACGACATATATAATATTCTGTAATTGTGACATTTTGTAAATTCCAATTAAAAATGTAACATCACATAAGTTTGTTAACATCAGACCAAAATAGAAAGCAATTTCTATCGAATATACTCCGGAAAAGCAATTACTTTGTGAAGCGTTTTATCGCAATTTAACAAACACATTTATCAGTTTTCATTCGTTTACAATCTGACTATTACATGACATTGCATTACTTGTATTAGCTTGTCATTTTTTATTAAAAAACGAGCTGTTGCCCACGACTTCGTCCGCGTGGTATTAGAGAACATACGAACGATATAAATTACAAAAAGCTACGTATCCCTTGGGAACCGGACATTTCTCTGGGATGAAGCTTATCCCATGTGTACTCCAGACTTTGTTTTATTTCTGTGCCAAATTTCAATAAGATAAGTTGAACCGTTGCAGAATGATCGAGCGAACATTAAAAAACTAAATTAACGAATCCCACGGGAACCGTAACTATTCCCGGTATAAAAAGTAGCCTATGTGTGCTTCCAGACTATGTTCTAAACCTGTGTCTAATTTCATGGAGATCCGTTCAGCCGTTTAGGCTACAAACGCTAACAAACATCCATCCATCTAAACTTTCGCATTTATAATATTAGTAAGATTAGTAAGATGAGAATGTTACTAAATATTTTTGTGACAATAAAAGGACATCGTATAACAATTATGTACATTCCATTCCATAACATGATATTATACTGGTTTTGCCCGCGATTCCTACGCGTGGGAATAAAAACAAAAGTAGCCTGTGTTCTGCCAAACTATTCATCTATGTATGTCATCAAGATCTGTTCAGATTTTTAGACGACGAACTCTAACAAACATCCATCCATCTAAACTTTCGCATTTATATTAGTAATATTGGTATGGTTATATTCCATTCTGCTATTTCTTTTTCATTCTGTTTCAATTATACATTCATACGTATATTTGAATCTTATAATTATCAAGTTTATTACTTCAAGTGACCAACCTTGATGAGAATATAAAACCATCTTACTTAACTTCGCCTTACAAGTTATTCTGTCCTTTGATATAAGCATTAACTTAGTTCAAGGTGGACTACTAAGTTATTATAATGAATGCAGATAATTTCTTACCAACCTTTTGCATTACAATTTGTTATGCGTAATTGTTTTCCGTTTTGAGTAAATTGCCGTAAAGGAAACATGTTTAAGACAAATTAATTTATGTGGAAATGAAAATAAAAATGCTGAAGTATTATTAATATATTTACTTATTTACTATTCACTTTACATTCTGAATATAAAGACAAAAATATGATAGTAGCTTTCGCTCGCGACTCCGTCCGCGTGGGATTACTAAAAACAAAAGGAAGTAGCCCATGTGTCCTCTAAACTGGATAGTCTAGAGAATTCTACATCTATGCCAAATATCATTGAGATTCGTTCATCAGTTTAGGCTACAAACTCTAACAAACATTTCTTCGGATTGACAATATCAGGGAGATTACACGATCTTATGCATGTTACATTTATAATTTTTCTGTATAAGATAAAATAAATAAAAAACATGAAGATTTTTCTCACGTCCATTCGTATTTCAGTAACGTTTGTAGCGAAATATCACATTTGAAGTTTATTTTCTATACAATTGAGTCAAATTGCATTGTAGTCTCATGTTTATCCCTTAGAGCCGACCCTAAAGTTACGGGTACAAATTTCATTATATCTTTTCTCACCCGGAAATGTACGTGATTTTTGATATTCTATCAAAGAAAATACTCTCACTATATTTTACATAGAATATTGTTAAACTTTATTTATCGTTTCTTAATAAACTATTTTACTGCTAACATTAATAAAGTTAATAAATTAATTAGTAAGCTACAATACTTCGTATCAATAAATTAAATTATTTTAGAAAATAAAAAAAAATAAAACTCATAACATAGAATTAAATACATATAGATATTGGAGAAAAAATAACAGAAAGGGCTTGCAATATATTTTTAACAATTAGAACACACTAGCTTCTGCTCGTGGTACCATCCGCGTGGAATTAAAAAAAACACAAAAGTGAGTAGCCTATGTGTTCCAGACTATCCTCTATATCTATGCTAAACTTCATTAGTTATTATAAAGTATGTACTCGTATTATAGTATACAGTAGTATTAAGTATCATTTAAACTTGTCTTCGTACAATATTAAGATAAATACCATCTACAGGAAATGCAAACAAACGCATTGCATCGTATTTAAATGTTGAAGGAGTTTTCTTTGAAATCTCTACCCGGAATTTTGATAAAAATTTCACGATGCACACTCTAGACTGCAATTTAGCAAAGCGTATTCCTGAAAATAAAAATAAAAAACAAGTTAAAGGTAACGGTGTCAGGACAAAAGAAAGATCCTAATTAATATAAGAATTTTAGAAAGAGTAAAACAAACTGGGTTTATACCAATCAATTTCACTTAGTAGGAGCGTCGGTGGCTGGTTAAAGCACTTGACTTGCAATCTACAGGTCTTGGGTTCGAATACCGCTGTGCCAATGTGATTTTCGATTTTTCGATGTACATAATCCACCAGACGTTCTTACGGTGAAGGAAAACATCGTGATGCCTGCTCATATCGGCGAAGAAATTCAAAGATGTGTGTGAAGTCAACCAACCCGCACTTGGTTAGCGTGGTTGCCTATGGCCTAGTCACCCCTTACTTAGGGTAGGTCTGAGCCCCTCCGTGGGGACGTATAGTGAGCTGGTGATGAATGAATGATTTTTCACTTCCTAAAATTGTGCTTTTGTTCGAGAATTAAAAAAAATTACAAACCTAAACAATTCCTAGGACCAACACCAAATGCTAGATATGCGCAAGAATGTCTGTTTTTCACATTTTCTGGATTGAAACGTTCTGGATCAAATGTGTCTGGATCAGGGTAGTGTTTAGGGTCATGATGAATACCCCAAGCTGATACAATTATAGTTTGCCTTTGTTCTATAGTAACATTAGTATCTGGTATCGTATAATCAGTTTTAGCGTTCCGCAATAAAAGATCTCCCATCGGATATTTCCTTAATGTTTCATCTAGCACTTGACCCATATACGTCATTTTGCTCAGACATTCGTAATTTAGTTCATCAAAATCTTTAAGAACGTTATCTATTTCTGCAATGAGTTTGTCTTGTATGTCTGGATTCTTTGCCAGTTCGTAGAACAGATACGAAAGAACGGAAGCGCCTGTTTCATAGCCGGCCACGTAGAATACAAATGTCTGAGCTGCTATAATACTGTCTGTTAGTTCAACTACCTTAATGTCTTCTGTCTCACTTCTTTTTGCTCCTTCGATGATTTTCTTTTGTCTCAATTCTAAAATTAAATCGATAAAGTCTTTCCTATTTAATGGCATTCCACGTCTTTGTTCGATCACATTCTTTGTCAAGTTCTCGAAAAATTTGGTCACATAATTAGGAAAGAGCGAGCTATTGAACTTTTTTAATATCCCAGGATACATCATGTCGAGTTCGATACCGTAATTTACAGAAAAAACTAATTTGTCAATTTTCTCCAAAGTTTTCTCCATATCTTTATCTATGTCAACGCCGAAGGCACAAGCAGCGATAGACGACATTGTGTAATGTTGGAACACGAGATGCATCGATTGTTCTGGTTGGTTCTGACAAATGTCTTCGAGATAATTAAGGAATTTATCTCCACATTCAGACATAAGAATCAACATGTTCTTCAGCTTACCCGATGTGAAGAGTGGAGTGAAACGGTTTCTTAAAACTCTCCATCTGTCGCCATCAGCATGGAACAAGTTGACACCAAGACCTTCATCACTGAATTCAATTCCTCTATCAGCGAATAATTCGAAATCTTTTATCATCACATTCTTAATAACATCTAGATCACGCAATAAAAGGCACGGCGTTGTCATTCTATAAATACCAACGACCTTTTCGTTAGGAAATGTTTCATAAATGCTGCTATACACCATAATAATAGACTTCCTTCTAAGAAACGAATCTTTAAGGTTACCGAAGAAAGGGAGCGGTTTGGGTCCGGCAACAATTCTTTTCTTCCAATAATCAAAAGTCCTAGTGAAGTAGAAATATAAAACTGTGAACAAAGTCGCAACACTCACTAAGGTATAAATCATGCTTACTGAGAACGCACAAGATCACTGAATGATACATAACAGGTAAATACGCGAATACATGTATTGACATGTACTGGTTTGTATTGACAAACCAGTTCTTCAAAGACAATTATTAAGTACATTAAGAATCAGCTGTTCCCGTGCGGCTTCATTCACATGAAATTATGCAAATTTTATTAATACATTGATAGCAAATGTCAAAATGACATGACATACAAACCCTAACAATCTTGCTTCCTTGATGTTGGCAGCAACTTTTGGTCTCTTTTCCACATTAAGGTTTTTATCCGAAATCTACCTCCTAAGTTTAATCGCGTGTAAATATATAGCCTAAAGCTTGACGTAAGCGTAGGGCTTATTTTAAAAAAGAATTATTCAAAAATATGCTGTAATTGCTGACATCTTAGGCAACAAAGAAGTGTGTTTGCGCTTTATTATTATAGTATAGATAAACAGATGTAAGGAAATGAAATTGTTTTTAATTATAATTATAAAATACAAATTCAACAAATATTCTATGTATAAGGTTAGAGTAACTGTAAATATTTAAAAAAATGCGTAACTATTAATAATCCTTTTTTTAATATATCCTGCCAGTGTCTGTTTTTGTACAAGGCCAGGTTTATGTTGACAGCAAAATGATACACATGAGAAAATTATAAGCTATGTTTTTTTTTTAAATTCTGCTAACAAAGTCGCAAATAACCGCTGGTCAACTATTAAAAAATGTTACATTCCAATTAACTTATTTTCTTTTTTTATAATTCCACTTTGGGTATAATTTTATACTAGCTTTCGCCCGCGACTCCGTCTACGTGGTATTGAAAAAAGATGAGCAGCCTTTGAGTTCTTTCAGACTACGATCTAAATTTTTACCAAACTTTATCGAGATCCGTTAATCAGTTTAGGATACAAACTCTAACAAACATCCATCCAACTAAACTTTTGCATTTATAATATTTGAAGTCTTTCGACTAACATCAGGTAATATTGGGTGATTTATGACATTTTCTTGTAGGCGTGGTACTTAGGTATTTCAACAAAATAGTTGTCTTGATAGTTGGTGTAGTCGTAATCCTGAATATCACAATTCATATGTCCACTAAATAATTATAGATCATAACGATATGTTTCGATTAAGATATTGAATTGACGTCCACCGAACACATGGTCGCGCGCGCATTCCATCGCGACTCAAATGGAACTGACTCGAAATGACAAAATGGCCGCCATACCAGTGCTCGGTGTTCGCCATGGGCATAGAGTAAGCCTACATATTAGTAAGATGATTGTAAATTTATTTTTATTAGAATAGATTCATATGAAGTATATAACTTTAATTGTATCAAAGTTTCCGTTTGATAGATTATTAAGCTGATACATGATAAAACAATCAAAACATTTTCGATAACAATATCTTAACACAATGATTGAATATTAAAATAATCGCGATGGATTCATATCTATTTCAAATAAATAGTCATTATGACACCCGTCTATTAAGTGTTGCGGATGTCCATGGGCATCGTTGACCACCTTGGTGTTCACGCCGCTCGTTTGCCCCCGTTTATTATTTAAAAAAAAAGTAACTAGTTACGGCATTTTTTTTCATAATATAAGTTGGCACACGAGCAACCGGCCACCTGAATCCACCGAAAAGCGATCCATTTCCCCATCCTATGCGTCTCCTCCACCGTCAAATCAATTTTACTTCCCATCCTTTCCTCTTAAGAAAAGAGTGGAAAGGGAAAGGGACCAAAATTAGGCTTTCGGCACCACACTCATCAGACGAAACGCGGAATTACTTCCACTTCACGCCTGTTTTCTGAGTTTACCTTCGTACTTCATTCGATACTTCGCATACATGTCAAATTAATCACGCTTTAACAAATTATAGTGCGTGGGAACTCTAATTTAATATTAAGCTTTTACTAACGACTCCGCAAACGTCATCATCATCCTCCCTATCCTACTCACGTAAGGTCGGCACAACAGGTTTTCGTCCTCCAAATAACACTATTATACGTCATAAATTATAACACGGCTAAACTCACGTGATAACATTCGGTGTAGGCACCGACAGTTTCGAACCCGTTGGGGGTCCTTCTTCAGGGTGAGTGATTAATCGGGTATACTCGCTATCGCGTCGCGATGGTCACCGTCGCGACGCGATAGCGAGTGTACCCGTCGAAACTGTCGGTGCCTACACCGAATGTTATCACGTGAGTTTAGCCGTGTTATAATTTATGTAGTATAATGTCTCACGAAAGTTTTAATAAGTTAATTATACGTCATCTTAGTCATCACTCCCTTCTTGATCATGTCACCTTTCACGCAATCCATCCACCTCTTTCTAGGTCTACCTCTACCTCTCTAACGAATCCGCAAATGTTTAATAAAAAAAACAGTAGCCTATGTCTTCTTCCAGACTATCTTTAACATCTATGCCTTTCATGGACATCAGTTATTGAACGGATGTCCATGAATCTAAACTATTGTTTAGATTACAAACGCTAACATCCTTTCAACTAAAATTTCGCGTTTAAATTATTAGTAAAAATTGCCGTATACCTGTCATTTACATTCCCGTTAGATGCTTTTTTGTTTTTTCGTTCAAGAATGAGTTAAATTATTTTAAACTATGTAGCTGTTCTCGTGCGACTTCATCCGCATGGAATTATGAAAATGTTATTTCATTACATCTCTCAAATTATCAATTACAAATGACATGACATGATGACAACCTTGCTTCCTTGATGTCAGCAACTTATGGTCTCTTTCCTACATTAGAGTTTTTATCCAAAATATTTACCCCTTAAGTTTAATGACGTTAAAATATATAGCCTAAAGCGTGACGCAAGTGTATGGCATTTTATTATAAAAATAATTACTCAAATATTTGCTGTAATTGCTGACATCTTAAGCAACAAAGAAGTGTGTGTTTTCGCTTTATTATAATAGTATAGATTAAGTATAGTTAAGTGTTGAAAAGAAAAAGAGATTTTACATTTTTAAACAATGAATTTATTTCCAAAAAAAAATTAACACTTTTGTTTCTGACAGTATTGATGGCAATAAATTATATAAAATGTTGAATTATCCGTAGGAAGTACTTGGACATTAGAATATGGAGTAATAGATTAACTAAATACATTTTCTTTACAAAGCCATCTATCGGCAGAAAACGAAACTACTATTAAATTCCATCACTATTGAAAGGTTCGTTTGACATTCAAAAACACACAAGAATTTATTGAACGTTTACATTAAAGATAAACGAATTAATCGCATTTGAAATAAAAATGGGAACTTCAGAAACCGATCGCTAGTCCATCGAGTTATACAGGATGTTTCTTAAATGACGTATCAAATTCTATTATTTATACTTATCATAAAAGTAATAGATAAATTGATTCTAAAAGAAAACTATTGAGGGTCCTAAAACCTGCTTATATTTTAAACCGTTTAATAAGAAACATCCTATATATAGAAGAATTCATTTAAACTTATCAAGCGTTACATATTACCTACTCAAAACATTTAAAGGAATACCACCAACAGGAAAGATAAACAAACGATTAGGATCATACTTGAGGGCTACAGGTGTATTTTTCGATGGTTCCACGCGGAATTTCGACAAGAACTTCACGATGCACACTTGTGACTGCCATTTAGCAAACCGCATACCTGAAAAAAATATTAACTTAACATTACACATACACTAAGCCACATAAAGCATCGCATTTAAAGTTTAGTTAAGAAAGTCATTAAAAAATAATAATAAAATAATAAAAACCTCTTTATCGCCATCCAAGAATACACACAGTTGTAAAAAATAAAAAACATACATGAAAAAATTGTAACAGATGTCAAAAGGGGGAGGCTCAGCTTAACCGATACTGGTTGAGATCTAGTGTCGAGCTGGTTTTCAGCCACCCCCCTTTAGGTAATAAAGGTATTTCTTTTAATTAATGGGTTTTACTGTCAGAAGGAACTGACATCCCTCAGCAAAGCCAGTGGACTTGATAAGGAAACCATTAATGGCGTCGTTTGCAGTAAGAGTTTAAAATTAAAACTCATAAGAATGTTAACTTACCTAAACAGTTTCTGGGACCAGCTCCAAATGGTAAATAAGCACAGGAATGTCTGTTTTTCACATTTTCCGGACTAAATCTTTCTGGGTCAAATTTATCCGGGTTGGGATAGTATTTCGGGTCATGATGTATACCCCAACCGGATATAACTACAGTTTGTCCTTTTTTGATAGTGACATCGGTTCCCGGGATGGGATAGTCAACTTGAGCGTTACGCAGTAAAATATCTGCGACCGGGTATTTTCTCAAAGTCTCATCAAATATCTGACTGAAATAGGGCATGTCGATCAAACATTCATAATTAATTTCGCCATTATGACGATCAAGAACCTTATTGATTTCTGAAACTAGTTTGTCTTGTATGTGCGGATTCTGCGCTAGTTCGTACAACATGTATGATAAGGTGGAGGCGCTGGTTTCGTAGCCAGCTGAGTAGAATATGAATGACTGCGCTGCAATTATATCGTCTGTTAGTTCGAGTACCTTTACATCCTCATCGTTGTTTCTTTTTGATGCTTCGATTTTTCCCTTTTGTCTCAATTCTAAAATTAAATCCATAAAGTCCTTTCTATTTGTGGGCACACCACCTCTTTGTTTAATGACAGATTTAGTAAGGTCATCGAAAAATTTACTTACACTCTTTGGAAAGAGAGAGCTATTCAACTTTTTCAATATTCCAGGATACATCATATCTAGTTCAGTGCCGTAAGTTATGGTAAAAACTAATTTATCCATTTCTTGCAAAGATTCCAACATTTCTTCGTTTACATCAAAACCAAAGGCACAAGCTGAGATTGATGCGATTGTGAACCTCCGAGCGAGGAGGTTTATGTGATGTTCCATATTATTTTGAGTGATATCTCGAACATACTCCACAAATTTGTCTCCACACTGTGTCATAAGTCGCAACATGTTCTTGAGCTTGCCCGAAGTGAAAAGTGGAGTGAAACGGTTTCTCAAAACTCTCCATCTGTCGCCATCAGCATGGAACAAGTTAACACCCAGCCCTTCATCACTGAATTCGACTCCTCTATCAAGGAACAAATCAAAGTCTTTCACAAATATATTCTTGATGATATCCAAATCACGTAACAACAGACACGGAGTTGTCATTCTATAAATTCCTACAACTTTTTCCTTTGGAAATTGATTATAAATATCCTTATACACCATAATCACAGATTTTTTTCTAAAGAAGGAATCTTTGATATTTCCGACGAGCGGTAGCGGTTTGGGTCCAACGACATTTCTTTCCTTCCAGTAATTAAAAGTCCTGGTGCAGTATAAATACAATACGGCGAACAAAGCCGCGGCAGCGCTCACCAACTCGTACACCATGTTTACTCTCGCTGGAGATCACTGAATAGTACGCATCCAGTATACACGCGTAAATATATATTATTTACTTATCAATATCGCTGATCATCTTTAAGTTTGAATTTATTTCGACGTATCCATAAATCAGCATAATTTAAAAATGATAATTATGTTTATTACATTTTTTTTTCTGTAATCATTGTTGCACAATATTATAATTGGTTTAAAAATTATCATTTATTTTTATATTTTATCTACGAAATTAATGTCATTGAGGAAGCTTATGCTGTCAAGACGTGTTCGTCGTGCTTAGCAATTTGTCTTTAAAATGTATATCATAAAATTAATTTAAAATATATCTCATTTTTGTATAAAATTCAAATTGAAACAAATTAAATCGAGTTACATATTTATTAGAATTGTAACCATATATGTGTCCTTTTTTACTTTTTCTATACAGGATGACCGCTAAAGACGTGTACAATAACTCAAGCAACCAGTGATCAGTGCTGCAGAGACAGGAACCTTAGTATGCGTGCAGTTTCTAAAATAACTACCTTTTGTATCGGTCACTCATCTTTGACTAAACTGTCGCACAACGGTTGTGCGATTGTCGAGTGTCGACTATTTCGTAACTAAGTCAACTATTCAGTTGCATAACTGAAAATAAACAAGGCAATAGTAGAGTTTCAGGTGTCCGCAAGCTTTTAATGCACACGTCTAGGGTGAGGTTTTAAAGTGTTGATCGAAGCTCTTCGAAGTCCATTCGCCGAATTTTGACAATCATATTATACGTATCTGTTTATTTTGAAGTTTTTTATTGTAAGATTCATTGTGTTCTGTGGCGCGGGGACTACATAGGGCGCCACCCTAGTTTGGACACCAGTCCCCTGCCCAAGGGGTAAATTAATAAAACTATTTTATTTTTTATAATTTTGACAACCTGTCCAAAATTTGGCCATAATGCAAACAACGAATGTTTTAGTCATATTTCATACTAATATTATAAATTCGAATGTTTAGATGGATGGATGAAAGGATGTTTGTTAGAGTTTGTAGCCTAAACGGCTAAACGGATTTCAATAAAATTTGGTATGGATGCAGAGGATAGTCTGGAAGAACACATAGGTTACTCTCTTTTGTTGTTTTTTAATTCCACGCGAACAGAGTCGCGGGCGAAAGCTAGTTAATAATAATTTTGTGTTACTATATCAAATTCCATGTTCATCAGTTTACAATTCACTCCATGTATAAATTTCTTATCGATTTAGATATACTAGTATATACTAGTAAATGTTTGTCACATAAAATAATGAAGACTTTGTAAGATAATTATTACACAATAATAAAATATTATGTTGTCAAAAATACACAATAGATAACGTTTAAAACTTCCATAACATTCTTGATTTGAAACCTTTTCCGTATAAGTTATACGCCATTTTACGGAAAGTAAAAAGAATATAAATTTAAAACAGATTTTTGACCACATTTTGACAGTCTTGTACGTCTCGATGGCTGACAATCCTCAGCTATGTCCTTTAGGAAGCGAGCGTACCACCTTTTGTACCGGCAACGCATATTTAATGCTCTGGTATTAAGGATGTCCATGCGTACCGATTTCCTAGGTGTTCCTACTGTCCGTTTCCCACTTTTATTTTAAAACAAATTATATCTAATCAGTGGCTTACGAAATTGTGACTAAAAAATTAAATCGATTTTTTCGCTATACATATAATGTTAAGTAATTACTTTTAAAAATACAACTTTTTAGATTATTCTATCTTCTTTAATAAAATGGTTACTTTTTTGTTAAAAGCTGTAGTTTTCGTAAATATATCTTTGATACGTATTTTTCTAGTGTAACGTAGGTAATCATATTAATTTTAATGATAAAAAACAAAGTATTCTAAGAGATTTAGAGACCCAACCATACCAATAAGTAAAACATTAAATGTTCTTCAATAAAATGACAATAATATCTAAGCGCCTACAATTTAATTGCAGCAAAATGCTGAGATATCTCATGATTATAGAAATTGCAGGCGCTTTGTAATTCGGTTTGTAAAGAATAGCTTCCACAGAAAATGGCATCCACTCGCCACTAACTCTATTGCTGCATTCCAAGTGGACCGCGCGCCATCCACTGGCATGACAGTCATATATTGTTTTGCTAACATATTCAAGTCTCTTCGTATACAAGGTTAAGCAAATCTGCGATTTTAGTCTTTACCTTATTTACGCAATATAATCTCGTATGCAGGTACTCAGTTATAAAACATCATATCGCAAAAGCTATTTAGAGATTAAAATGCCAAAATTTCAATATCGTTTCAGTACTTGGACGTCAAATTTATTCTAAAAATACCTAATCAGTCCTACCTAATTCTTGCAAATTGTCAGATAACAATGTGGTGGGACAGGCCCCAATTGTTTTAAAGAAAATTGTAATGCTTGTGGGTACTTTATCGAACAGAAAACACGATCTCAATATTCAAATACAAATATAATTAAAACTTTATTAACAAAAAGAGTATTAAAGGTCGCCACTATCCAGAAACACAATCATCTATACTATTATAATAAAGCATAAACACACACTTCTTTGTTGCCTTAGATGTCAGCAATTACAGCATATTTTTAAATAATTCTTTCTTTAATGAAAAGCCCTACACTTACATCACGCTTTAGGCTATATATTTTCACGCCATTAAACTTAGGGAGTAAATATATTGGATGAAAACCTTAATGTGGGAAAAAGACCATACGTTGCTGCCAACATCAAGGAAGCAAGATTGTCAAAGTTTGCAATGTCCTGTCATTTTGACATTTGCTATTGATAATTTAACAACTGTAAACAATAAAATAATTAGCTAGTTTCAAACTGAAACTTCAAACAGAGATCTAAAGATACTAAAACATTTAACGCCACAGACCCGCCTTTTTCACTTTGATAATTTGTCTAAATACGATAGATTAGTTTGACAATTTATCAAATGATTTGTCAAACTAATATATCTTATTTAGACAAACTACAGGGCTTGTTTTTTGTTCGTTTTTACTGTCTTCTTACAACATTTAAATTAATACCACCGGAAGGTAAGAGAAATAAACGCGAGGGATCATATTTGAGGTCCACCGGAGTATTTTTCGAAGGTTCCACGCGGAAGTTTGACAAAAATTTCACGATGCACACTTGGGACTGCCATTTAGCGAACCGCATACCTGAAATAAAATAAAAATCATTAACTCAAGCAAGAAATGTAAACTGCTTGTAAGATATATACAAGATACAACAGGTAGAGCCCGCTTTGACATTTTAGCACGAATAGGCCGGCACGCCCGGTGTAATACCACGACCACACAGAAGACAGGCATGAAATGGAACCAATTCCGTGTTTCGTCTGATGAGTGTGGTGCCAGAGGC